ACTTCCCTTGACGGTCGTCTTGGTGGATTGAGAGATTGTCTGTTTCTTCGTTGCCGGTTTCTTGGTCTTTCCGCCCTTTGCAGCCGCCAGTGATTGAGCCAGATTGGGACCTAGTTCGTTCAGCGGGACCTTCAGCAACCGCGGTGTAACACAACATACCATTGAGGGGTAACACAAACTCGTATGCAGATTGCGGTTTAGGAGCAATCGGTTGGCTAAGTGCTACGGACTGTCCCATTGCCGGTGGCATCTGCAAGTCCTCCCGATAAAACGTGTAGAGCCTGAATGGTGTCAGAGGGCGCGTACGACTGGGGAAGGCAGGCGAGATAGACCTACTTTGGTTCATCTGTGCGATCATATTCAGATGGGTTGAGGTAGAGAAGGTTATTAGGGTGAAGGGCGGCTTGTTGATTAGCAGCAGCTTGCTGTGCAGAGCTAAGGAACTGCGGGTTAATGGTTTGATTAGATACGGGAGGAGTTGACCGAGTGAACTCGGTGTTGTAATCCATCGGTACGTGCTTGAAACCAGTTAGCACAGCTTGTCAGAGTTCAGAAAAGGAAAATTGACATACTGAATTTCTTTCACCGTAGCCTGTAGGTAGTGAGTACTGCGGGACATGGTGTAGGTGTGGGTCGGATTGGAAATGTGTCGCTTGAGGCTGTGGCTGCGCCGCGGGAGGCGAATGCATATGAGATTGAGAAAAGACATCAGGCACTGGCAGGTTCTGAGGATAGTAGGATCGAGGAAATGTGTAGGATGGGAAGTGGGCGCTGTCCGATGCCGGGAGGGGCTGCGTGTCATATGCAGGATGTGCTGAGGAGAATTGCGGTGCTTGACGATATTGGGAAGTCATCCCGATCGGTTGAGCGGTTGCCGGTAAGATGGGTTGTGGATGCAACGCAGCTGCTCGCCATGATTGCGGGGTGGAGGAGGAGGAATAAAGGCCATGATTCTGATCTTGAGGGGTCGGCAACGGACTCCGCGATGGGGGATTCTGACCGAAAACCGGATGATCCCAACTAATTCCTAGCGGCTGATGTGATGATTGTTGCTGTTGCTGTTGTTGTGGCTGCTGTGACTGCTGTGGCTGTGGTTGCGATTGCGATCGGGATTGCGATCGGGACTGCGACTGCGACTGAGGTTGGGGGGGAGGCTGTTGATGTAATTGCTGTTGAGGATGTGCATGTTGATGCGAAGGATCGGAGTTTGTATACAATGGTTCGAAGCTGTTCCAGTACTCAGGCGGCGGTAACGAGCCGGGATCTACTGGCGCGCGGTGCAGCCCGGGCATGATGTTTTGCGGCGGCGACTGCTCCATGCTTCCGGCCTATCTCCACGCTTTGCCTCCTGCTTTATAGCAGTAGCAGCAACAGAAACGACAACAATGGCCGCCAGTGGTATAAGGTAAGGACGGTGGGGGGGGGGATTGTTGGGGGTATGTTATGATAAGGTACTAGTATAAGCCAGGGAAGCTTTCTGTTGTACTGTTGTATCCCAGTGCAGGATGGATTTGACCCAAAGTGGTTAAGAGTCACATGCATCCACGTGCCGGGAGGTTGCCAAGTTGGGACAAGATCAAATGCCGCTCTTAAAGGACTTCAAACTTGAGTGGGGGGCGCAATCACGATAAGTCTATTGGTCCAAGCTCCTTGAGCAACGGCGGCGCAGCAAATCTGGTCCAGGAGCCCGCTGCAACGAATCAAGGATGCTGGCCGAGTTTGTCAGCCTGTGAGTTTGCTGATACGTCGGAATTCAAAGGAATAACAGGGAAAGCGGTAACACCCGGCCAGAGCGAGGCTCAAAGATGAGTGGCAAAAAGAGTAGTTCCCAGCCTTGTCTTCCTCACTTTAGGTGGAGTATCGCGCATGATTGGGATGAAAGGAGAAAAAACGAAAGGGGGGAAACCACACCTGGAAACCGATCTTTCTGATCTCTAGATTGTTTGGCTCAAAAAATAGAGAGTGAGAATGAGTGAGCGAGCAAGTGAAAATAGAATGCGACGAGGTAGAGTAGATGGGAGAGGTCGATGCCGCAATCGTTGCCGCCCTGTGCCTGAATTGGCCTTGCTTCCTCCTTAGTATGTCACGTCCACGCCCGTCTCTCTTGCGCGCGCGCTGTCGGCCCAGTGTAGTAGTAGTTAAAACGACACCACAGCAAAGCAGCAGTTATGTTTTTTAGAACAGGAAGAGGCTGGGCCCAACTCTGGTTTCGAATACACCGGCCCAAGTACGTACTGTACTTTGTAGTCTCCGTATAGCTTCACTTCTCTTTGCTTTTCTTCTCTTTGCCTGCCGTCTGTCTTTTCCAAAGCAAACGCTTATGCTTGTTTGTAGGTAACCTTGTCACTCTTCCTAGTCTTCAAACCTCTGCCCTGACCTTTTCTGCAGAGGCAATTCAGCTGGAGCTGGAGAAGGGGAGAGGGGCGAAAACTCCTTCCTGCTCGTACTGCCTTGCCTTTTCTTTTCCTTCTTTCTTCAGCTTCCTTAAATCTCGACTTTAGAAAATGATCAGAAGAGATGTTATACAAAGAGCCACTCGAAACGGCAGTTGAGCAGCATAATCATTTGCTTTACGAGGAGGGAAGTGATGGTGATGGAAGGGACTTGGGGGGAGGGGGAAGGGGGGTGGAAGGGGATTGATTCTTGGGGAGGGAGAAGGAGGGAACTGGAAGGAGGAGAGAGGGGGGAGGAAGAAGGAGGATTGGTAGTGGGTGAGGGTGAGGTGGGCTGGGGTGGTGGTAAGACTGAAAAAGCCGGCGGGCGGCAATTCGGTTGTTGCGTTGTTGGGCGGGCGCCTCAACCTAAGTCTACGCCCGTTCAGCGATAGTTTCTATCACGTGAGATGTTGAACAGACCTTTTGTCTGGTTTGTCTAGTTTGAGCGGGACAGCTCAGGATGAGCTCAGGATGTGCCAGGTGGAGAGTGTCTTCGGTACGAAGTTAACTACTCATTAGTACGGGTTAACGTATTTGGTAAGCGAACCGGCCACCCCCTCAACCACCACCACGTCCATGAAACCGAGGATATTCAGACATCAGTTTCTCCACCAAAAATGCCTAAATCATCAAAAGAATCGGTGGAACAAGAAGGCAGACTGTGCCTTGCAATTGAGGCTATTCAAAAAGGTCAAATTACTTCAATTCGTAAAGCTGCGTTGGTTTTCAATGTTCCACGCTCAACTCTTCAGGGACGCCTTAAGGGGACTACCTTTCGCAAAGAAACACGTGCCAACAGTCATAAACTGACTTCTTTGGAGGAGGAATCGCTTGTCAAATGGATTATATCACTGGATCAACGTGGTGCATCGCCAAGGCATCTCCAGATACGTGATATGGCTTCAATATTGATACAAAAACGCTGTCAAAAAACAACTTCCTCGGTGGGAGAGAAATGGGTATACAACTTTATTGCCCGGCATAATTCCTTAAAAACTCGGCCCACTCGTCAAATCAACTATAAACGTGCGAAATGTGAAGATCCTGAGGTTATTCAGGCGTGGTTTCAACGCATACAAACCGCCGTGGCTACGTACGCAATTGCAGATGCAGATATCTACAACTTTGATGAGACCGGCTTCGCCATGGGCCTGGTGGCTACTGCTAAGGTGGTGACACGTTCATCCTGCAGAAGAAGTCCTTTTTTTATACAGCCTGAAAACCGCGAATGGATAACTTCAATTGAGTGTGTCAACGCCGCTGGATGGGCGTTACCAGCATACTTAATATTGAAGGCGAATACTCATATTCAGACGTGGTATGAAGGCAGTCTACCATCCTCATGGCGTATTGCTATATCACCAAATGGTTGGACCAATCGAGAAATCGGTGAGCATTGGCTTAAGGAACACTTTATTCCTTATATCAAGGACCGAAGAACTGGGCAATATAGCCTCTTGATTCTTAATGGACATGACTCCCATTTGACGCCTCAATTCGACGATATATGCCGTGAGAACGACGTTATTCCGGTGTGCATCCCGGCCAATTCCTCTCACCTCTGTCAACCGTTGGATGTAGCTGTATTCTCACCGTTGAAGCAAGCGTACAGCCGCCGGATTGAGGACCTTATACGAACTGGATGTCACCATATCAATAAGATTAACTTTCTTGACGTATATCCAGACGCCCGTGTCCAAGCGTTCAAATCAACGAATATACACAGTGCCTTTAGGACATCAGGAATCGTTCCTTTTGACCCAAGCAAGGTTTTGGATAACCTTATCTTTTACGAGGAGAGCAGACCAAGCAGCCAAGGCACTGCTTCAACCGTTACCAAAACGCCTAGGAACTTGAAGCAATTTAAGAAATATGAGTCGGCGATATCTCAATTGCTTCAACACCCTGATGCTCCGGCTTCACCCATGCAAACTGCCTTATCGTATATTGTCAAAGGTGCAGAAGCTGCGTTGAACCGTGCGGTTCTTCTGGAACATGAAATCCGCCAACTCCGTGTGGCCGTCGAGAGGAAGAATACTAAGCAGAAGCGCAATCAGCATCAAATGAACGGCCTCAACGGCTTCACTATTCAGGAAGCCCGTGAGACCTTCGCAAACGTCCAGCCCTTCGAGGAGGTAGCAGCCGGTGATACAGGACTTCAAGATGGTCAACCACGCCGCCGAGCACCACCTCGCTGCAGCGCGTGTGGAGTCCTTGGACATACACGTACGAGATGCCCGGCTAAGAAGGCTTGTGGTCCCAGCGTTTAAAAAGTCATATAAACGTTCGAATATACTCCACATTGTGTATGTAAATCAGAATTCCGGTATGGGCAGCATACAGGGGTGCTTGCCAAGCCAGCCGGTGGCCGGCTCGCTTACCAAATACGTAACTGCGTGGCACGCAGTAACTACTCCGTACTCTAGTTAGACCATCGACTGACCCGACCGACCCAACTACTTCCCCGATCTGGATCTACACTGCGCAACTTACCCGTGACACTCTACGCTGTCCTTTTCGTCTTTGCAAATAACCTCTTCTTATACCCCACTACCTACTTCTAATCTTGCTCTCGGTCTTCACAGCCAGTACTCTCATCGCCTAACTCCAACTGGTCATGATATTGAGTCAATTCAGGTGATCGTGAAACCGTCCGGGGTGTTGCAGCAAGTCCGCATAATGGCATCGCATTCCACCTCTCTCCGTGACCGTCAGGTCGGTAGGTTTCAGCCTCCCTTCTCGATCATCGCTGCGATCGCACAAGTCTAATCTCCCTCAGCTTCCATTCAAAAATTACTAAACTTGAATCACGATACACATCCCACCGACGAAACCCACCCCGACGGCTCTGCCCAGGGTCTGTTCTCAACTCCCGTCTTGAACGAGGACGGGGATCCGATTTGGAAAGTCTTGGTATTTGATAACCTAGGAAGAGATGTGATTAGCAGCGTCCTGCGTGTCAATGACCTTAGGACATGGGGGGTCACAATCCATCTGTACGGGGTCCCCTGCGTGTGGACCTATATTTGGCCAGACCTTCAACTGACATAGACCACAAGCAACATCAACGCCAATCGCTATCCGATACCCGATGTACCTGTCATCTATCTCGTCGAGCCTACCGCTGCCAACATCCAGGCGATCGCCAATGACCTCACCCGCGGTCTCTATTCCCCCGCCTACATAAACTTCCTCTCCTCCGTACCTCGACCCCTGCTGGAAGACTTTGCCTCTCAAATCGCAACTACAGGCACCGCAGAACATGTCGCACAGGTCTTTGACCAGTACCTGAACTTCATCGTTGCGGAACCAGACCTCTTTAGCCTGGGATTAGGCAACGATGCCTACTGGAAGATCAACAGTGCACAAACAAGCGACGATGACTTGGATGTTATCGTCGATCGGATTGTCAGCGGGCTGTTCAGCGTCAGCGTTACGATGGGTAGGACTTGGGTTCCGACCGTAATCGTATCTTGGCTAACGTGCAAATAGGTTCGATTCCCATCATTAGGTGTCCCAAAGGCGGGGCGGCGGAGCTGATAGCTACTAAACTCGATCGCAAGCTCCGCGATCATATCCTCAATTCGAAAGACAATCTCTTCTCCAGCAAGAAGGCCACGCCCGGCGTGCCTTCATCGCGACCGGTCCTGGTCATTGTCGATCGCAACGTGGACTTAGTTCCCATGCTGTCTCACTCTTGGACCTACCAGTCCCTTGTTCAAGATGTTTTGCAGATGCGTCTCAACCGGATCACAGTAGAAACAACGGATGATACAAATCCAGCAAAGGGTGTAACGAAGCGGGCGTACGACCTGAATAGCAATGACTTCTTCTGGAAACGCAATGCCGGTGCACCCTTCCCCCAGGTTGCCGAGGACATCGATGCGGAACTGACGCGATGTAAAGAGGATGCCAATGAGATAACCAAAAAGACCGGAGCCTCTTCTATTGAAGACCTGCAGAACGATACCAGCGCCTCAGCGCAGCACCTCAAGGCAGCCATAACGCTACTACCTGAACTGCGGGAACGGAAAGCCATTCTCGACATGCACATGAACATTGCCACCGCCCTCCTCAAGGGTATCAAAGACCGCCAGCTGGATAACTTCTTTGAGCTCGAAGAGAATATCACTAAACAGTCCAAGACGCAGATCATGGACCTCATCAACGACTCCACAAAGGGCAACAACCCGACCGACAAGCTCCGCTTATTCATCATCTGGTTCCTGAGCACGGAGACCGAAGTCTCCCGGGCCGAGATGAGCCAGTTTGAAGAAGCCCTGACGCGCGTAGGTGTGCAGGACGTCAGCCCACTGTCGTACGTCCGCCAAGTTCGCGAGATCACGCGGATGACGATGATGACGACGGCGACGGCGGGCGCCGCGCCGCAACAGCAACAATCGTCGAATCTCTTCCGCGGCTTCTCTTCGCTCTCCAACCAACTGACCGACCGCATCACCTCCGGCGCCCTCGGCGCCAACTTCGACTCCCTCATCTCCGGGGTCAAGAACTTTCTCCCAGCTAACAAGGACCTCACCCTGACCAAGATCACCGAGTCGATCATGGACCCGGCCTCGGCGTCCAGCTCCGCCATCGCCAAGACGGAGAATTATCTGTACTTTGACCCGCGCAGCGCCAACGCTCGCGGCGCCATGCCCCCGGCCTCCGCATCCCGGAATGCTCAGAGCCAGGGTGCTTTCGGCGGCAGCGGTGCTGGCCCCGGCACCACAGCGACCTTCGGGCAGCGGCGCCAGGGCTTCAACGAGGCCATCGTCTTCACCGTCGGCGGCGGTAGCATGGACGAGTACGGGAACCTGCAGGACTGGGTCCGTCGGGCGAATGGTCAACAGGATGGTAGTGGTGGTAGTGCCGGTGGTGTCCGGGGCGCTGGGCCGGGTGCGTTCACTGGGCCCCGCCGGAGGGTGGTCTACGGTAGTACGGATCTGATGAATGCCAATGAGTTCTTGACGGAGTCTCTGGCGAAGCTGGGGCGGGAAGGTTGAGCGGTGACCGGGGCGGAATTCCTTAGCTCTTCCAGCGTTTACCTTCTCGAGGCACGTAGTATTGGTAGTATTGTTGTACCTTGAGCCTGATTCGACACGCTTGATGTGACAAAAAGAGTTCAGAAGAATTCGGCGCCGCGAGCTGCTACTCAGTAGGTAATTCTAAACCTTTACTCCTGGAGTTTATACTTGGATCATGTGAATGGACCGTGCATCGATTGCTCTCTGCTTTTGAACGGAATAGAATGAAGATGAAGATTAGCACAAAACTAGTTTCTGCGTGTGTGTGCAAAGCAGATCAAGAATCGAAAAATGAAAATTCCCTCTCAAAGTAGTGAACAGCCCGATGCGATAATTTAGCACGGAGTTCTAGTTATCCACGAAAGAAGTTAGAAAGCACCGTGACCCCCTTCTCTAGTTGCATCCACAACGACGTTTGTGTCAAGTTTCAGAAACGAAAGTCAAATGTAAAAAAGTAAGAAGGCGAACAATAAGGACCACGCTGCGTCAGCCGTCGCCCCTTGAGATCCAAGTACGTACGAAGACCCTTCTATCTCCAGTCCCTACTAACAACAGCCCCTCCCTCTTCCCAATCTTCTTGAGCCCGGCTTCACGATTATGATCAATCCATCCCCGACTACTCCGGGCCCAGAAGAAACCCGAGCGGGGATTCACAGCACGACCTTCTCCCGCTTGACGCTCCGCACGGAGATATCGTGCTCTACCGCAATTCCATATCCCATTTCTAGATCCTGATGATGCTTTTGCTGACAGCTCTGGTTCGGATCGGCGTAGCAGGTGGTTCCGGTGCCGGTGCCGGTGCCGGTGCCGGGTTTGTTGCCTCTTGGGAGGGAGGCGGACGTGGAAGTTGATGTGGTGCAGGCCGAATGGGAGGGTTGTTTCTCGTCCTCAAAGTAAGAGAACGAGAGGACCTGCCACAGATTGCGGCGAGAGGAGGTCGAGCTGGCCAGGTTGTTGCTATTGGTGTTGCTGTTGCCGGAGCGGTGGTCGAGGGCGACGCCGGCCCAGATGGAGGAGAGGGGCAGGGAGATGGTTACCAGGGTGAGGACGTTGGAGGAGAGCTCGGGGACGTTGACTGCGTAGTGGAGAATGGAGAAGAGGGCTATATATTTAGATGGTTTAGTTAGAAAACCGCTTAGGGCAGATTCAACTAGGCTCGGGTTCTCTGAAGGGGAGGAGAGTTGTGTACATACCGGGCACAACGAGCGTTTGACAGCCCATTACAAAGATCACCTTCATTGGGCCAAAGTCGGCGACCCCCAAGCGTCTGCGCTGACGGATGGCATAGCCCAGTTTGGTAACGAAGACGGTACAGAAGAAGCAGATGCTGATGGTCAGAGTGATGTTGGCAGCGCTTTGGATCCAGATCAAGGGCGCACTAGTCAGGGCCTGAATGATGGTCTTGCAGTTCTCGACCATCAGGCCGAGGCGAAAGCCAGTGGGGACCAGAGCCACGACTATGGACACGCCGAGCAGGAGGCGCCGGTAGCGGCGGCGGAGGTTAGCGCAGACGACTTGGACCTGCAGGACGAGCGAAATTTCAATGCTGATGAGAAGGAGGGTGGCCAGCACGACTCCGAGAACCGAATTGGCGTATGTGGATTGGGGCACGCGGGAATAGTCGCTGCCAAAGTAGGCGTAGACGTGCACGAACGGGGAGGTGAAGTACAGGGCCTGGCAGAGAAGCAACCCGATGTTGAGAAGCAGGGCTGAGCAGTTGAGGAGGTAGACACTGGAGCGACGCTTCTCGGGCCGCGTGAGGAGCAGGAGAATCACCAGCAAGACAATGCTGGCTCCAAGCTGGGCCCCGTAATTGATGCAAATGCGGATGCAATACTGAATGAACTGGTCCACAGCTTCCACGGGGACATTGAAGGGAGTGCCGTCCGCAGCGTGGAAGGTGATGTTCTGAGTGAACGGTTCGAATTCTGGACTCATGATGGCGATTCGATCAACGAATTGCTTATTTCTAAGCCTTGGTTTGCTGTTGCTGTCCAATGTAAAGAGTGAGGAGATGAAGTAGCGAGCGTGATTGGGGTTAGACGTGGTTGTCCATTTTGGAGAGGAAGACGAAGAGACCATTTAACCGGCGATTTGTACACGATTCAGTACATGAGACGTGTTGCTGAATATAGTATCCAGGTTCGCCTCAATGAATGCATAATCAATGGCTCATTGCCGGTGACATTGTCCATGCGGTGCAAACCCCGAGACAGACAATGCCTCTACTGAACCTGGGATGAGGTATAACAATATAAGAAGTAGAACACTGTAGACCTCAATCTTGTACAATGCCAATCATCGGTTTGTCCCAGCAAACAATGCTAGACAAGGAGGTCTCGACAGCCTTGACTGCTGAGACAAACAATATCATGGCCAATGTCAAGAACAATGGCAAGCTCAACAGGAGGGCCATGATCCGCGCACGGTGTTCAACACGTGCCATTCTGGCGACTGGGAGTACCACGGGCTCATGACCTCAGTCTTCGGTACATTCTTGATAAAGCACTGGGAGAGATCTGGGGACGCTTGTGGTTGTACATCGATATCGATGTGTTGCTGTAATAGGGCCACAGTCCAGGCCGGCAGCTCCCTAGTGGTGCGATATTTGAAGCGCGATCACTGCTCCTGAGATCCAGAATGCCAACTCATAGAGCATATTGCCTGTAAGCTCGAATGACTCTTGAGTCAGGGGTCATCGAAGTCAGGAAATATGCTCTGGGCATGTTGACGGTGGGATTTCGACGAAAAGATAGCAGACGTATGTGAACCTTGAAGGTAATTTGACATCGAAGTCCACTTGTTTAGAGGTGGACATAGCTAATATTGCAGTTATCACTGGCCAAGAAAGAATTTATCAGGCCATGTAGGCTCGTAACAGCTCAGTCGAAGCTAGTCTCATTGCCAAACATCATGTGTGGTGGTAATTCCGGGAATTTATGGGGATCAGAGAGACCTCGGGAGGTGGAGCGGAAGCTGAGTGATGCTCGGCCGCCGCTGACCTCAACTCCTCCGCCTGCCTCCAACTCCAACTCATTCCCCCCCGCCATGCGATTCCCACTCCCTCCCATCCCAGCTCCCTCGCCATGGCTGCAGTGCCGCAGAGGACACTCAACTGGCTCTACGGCGTCTTAACGCGGGTGAGAAAGCTTGCAACTTGTTTTAGGCTAATCCATTCATCACGTCACTGACTGCCTACCTTCAGGACCACTACGATCCCAGACTAACCTACCAAGACCCCAACCGGACGTACCATGATGTCGCGAACGCGCTCGCCCAGTATCCGTCCATCGCTCCACGAACTGAAGTCTATAGTACGTGTCAACTCCCTTGTCGAATGTGGCTGCTTCTCGTTCTGTCCAGGTGCTAACCACTTTTTTGTTTATCTAGCCTACGAAACCGGCTTCTCGGCCCTGCTTCTCCAACTGTCAGGCACGCTCCCGGTGTCGTTTCGCGGCACCGTCTACAGATTTCCTGTGACATTGTGGATACCAAATACTTATCCTCGAGAACCCCCAATGGTCTACGTTACACCAACCCAAGATATGGCAGTGCGTGTAGGTCAGCACGTAACGCTGGAGGGGAGGGTTTACCATCACTACCTCGCACACTGGGCTGAAGCATGGGAGGTCAGTACTTTCGAAAATCTGCGACCCGCGCACGAATCTGACAAGTTATCATAGAGATCATCTCTGGTTGACTTCTTGTTAATTTTGCGAGAGGTTTTCGCAAAGGAGCCGCCAGTGAGATACAAGCATCAGTCACATGTACAGCAGCGACCACCGCTGTCACCGCAAGTGCAGGCACCTCCTCCTTTGCCTCCACTACCCCCCGAGCTCGAATCATCTCCTAGGCGCTCCGTAGTGACTCAAGTCCCATCCGTTGCGTCTACGCAGCGCCCTGCTCAAGTGCCTCCGCCTCCTCCGCCTCCTCCGCCTCCTCCGAAGCCTGGCCAGACCACGGGTCCAGAATCCCAGTCAGAGCGGTCCTCACCCGCAGGACGATACAATTCTCCCCCTCCGCTTCCCCCGTTACCACCCAAAGAACAAGACCTTCGAAGATTGTCTTTCCAGCAGCAATCAAGCATCAACATCCCTGGAGCCCGGCCGTCGCAGTACCCTCCGGAACAGAGCAGCATCCCTCTGCAGCCGACTACAAGTCAGTACCAGCACCCGCAGCATGCCCCTCCGCCAGCAACAGAATATCCCCAGGGACAAGCATACGCTCAGCCTTTGAGCAATGCACCCACCGCACCACCACAGGAATTTGGGCGCCTGTCTCATCAGCCCGTCCCAGCCCAGATGCCCTCACGACAGACACCTCTGCCACATACTGCATACTCTCAGAGGCCGCCCCATCAGGGCCCCGCTCAGCCCTTACCCCAGCATCAACATCAACCAGCTCTACCGGCACAGCAGCAGCAACGTCCCAAATCTGAAACGCCCGACCTTCTTACCTCACCTTTCGAGCTCGAGCTCCCCTCATTCACACCTACCGGCGCCGCACCCCCCATTCCTCCCAATCCAGAAAAGGACGCTCTGCTCCATGCTGTCTCCAAGACTCTCTCTGAAACCCTGCAGACCAACATTGCACAATCTGGATCGGCAGCGCATTCTCTTCTCTCTCAGTCTCACTCTCTTCACGCTGCCATTGCAACGCTTCAGGGGGAAATCTCTTCTTTGACTACCCTCAATGCGACGTTACAGTCGAATACTTCCATCCTCCAGCATACTCTCCACCGCGCCGATGGAGTCATTGGCGACGCGCAGACGCGTATCTCCTCACTATCGGGAGCGCCCTCGTCCAGCACCAGCGATGCTACCACGGCAGCGTCTGGTTTGCCCCCCATTGATGAGGTTCTCGTGGCTCCGACCGTCGTCGGGAAACAGCTCTACGATCTCGTGGCAGAAGAACGCGGCATCCAGCAAGCTATCTATGCTCTTCAAGCAGCGTTGGTCAAGGGAGTTATCGGGATGGAGACCTGGTCGCGGCACACACGTGGACTTGCGCGCGAAGCCTTCTTGAAAAGGGCACTGATTCAAAAGATCGGGAAGGGGATGGGGCTGGAACTTGAAGAGGTTTCCTAATAAGTGTGGCTTTCAATGTCTGGTCGAGCCTTTCTGCTGGGCAATCAAACATGAAATGTGCGTAGGAGTGAGATGTAAATAGACGAACGATCGATAGTCTATTCGGCTGCGATTGTATATATAGCATGAATATCAAGTGGTGAGGATGCGACCAATACATCCTAGGATTTAAGATATCCGCTGGGCGATTGAACAAGCCACCTCAGGTCCCAAGGAGATCGAGACTTCATGCCAATTTTCGACCAGCTAGCTGACATAACATATGATTTCCGGTTCGATGCTTTTCTCGTATAAGTGAGTTCTGGCCCACTTTTCCATGGCTCTGATTGAGCGTCATCTCAGCCCGATTTTCGGGGCCTCCCTGCTTGGATCGAAATTCGGGCTAGCCACTTTTTGGTCTAGCCATTGATCTTAGGTACTGTGCTTACATACTTATCAGTAAATAACTAAGTTACTGGGTAGCTATTCTTAGCCTGTCTATGCTATGCAGTTACATATACACTTCGGCATTTACTGAGTATACTAGATCAGTGCCAGTATGTTTATTGCAAGGTAATGTGCATGGTAGGCGACAAACTGTTTGCTCAATTCGCCACATTGGAGAATTGCATGTCGGCTGATGCCGCAACACAAAACTTGGAGGCTTGGAGGCTTGGAGTCTTACTGAGCAGTACTTGCATTTTTGGGGGTCACTCAGGCTAGTGTCCCAGTCTGCACTGTTGAACGGTTAAACTCAGTACTCCATTGCTTGGCGGCGGTTCCCTACCCTCTGTCACCTCAACCCACCTCTCCACTGAGGATCCTTTCCGTTGGGTACCTACGTACTCGCACATATGTACAAGGCTCGTGTATCCATTTTCCACTTCTGGGGATGGTGTTTCACTCGCTACACCCACCCTCTTAACATCTGCGTACAACCATCCCTAAATCCACCATCATTGGCTAACACAAGGGCGGCAATCCATATCCGCAATTCCTCCTGTCAGCAGTGCACGCATGGTCAAATCTCCATGCAAAGCCTCGCTGGGCCACATTTTGTCAATCTTGCTTATTACACAGCAATATGAACACCCTCTTAATATATCATCCACTCACCACAGATTATCCCAAAGCGACGACATGGACACGAACTCAAGATCTTGCCGCATTCGGACTTACGAACTGCTGGTGCTGCTGATGCTGCCCGAGAGTCAGACATGCAGCGGTGTACAGCCGAGTTAAGTACCGGAAGCATTAGTTGAGCTCACCAGCTTGCTTATCCCGTTACGGTACTTCGCCCCCTCCCAAGCCACACACGGCTGAGGTAGGCCGGCCCAATTGCCTGACCGCCAAATGCACTCCTCCTTATGTGTGCCTGAAATCGAGGGCTGAAAGTGCATTCATGCAGGGGGCCGCAGTAGCAGCAGCAGGTTTCGGAGATGTCTGCGATATTGCAGAGAATGCATGTACAGTGCAGTGCGACAATACTGAGTGCTTCGTAGAATATCTGTCTTGCATAATGTATGTACGTGGGGTGCCTGATCAAGATGAAGGCGTTGAGATGTGCCGTTGTGGATGTTTACATGAACTATAACTATATAGATGATGCCTCGTGTTCGCGTGGCTGGGTGGATATCCTATGCATGTGTGCATTAGTGTCTCATCCCACGACCGGCTCCAGATTTATACTATATCTCTCTGAAACTGAGACGAACATTGTGGCGATGCGCGATCATGAGACTCGTGTAAGCGATCGTCCGAGATTAGATCATCGGCTCAGTGACTTGCTGGGGCTTCTCTTGTCTGCAGTGATATTTCTACGAGTATCCCGGTCATCTACTTCGTAATTGGAAACCTGGTGTGTGGATTTCTACGTAACTTACTGTGCACTCACTGCATTGCCACGGGAAAGATTTGATCAATTGCAAGCCAGGGCTTATCAGATCGGACTAGCAGAGATAATCTAGAATATCATCGCACCGGTCGCATTATCGTCGATTGCCGGATGCAGCTAGTTGACTCTCGGCACAAATCTTTAGCGAGATGTATGTAGTATGGGAACTAACTATATACCTACAGACCTGGTGGTGGTATCCGAGGTTGGTAAGGAGGAATGAGGTGCTTTGTATGTTTCTTCCCTGGCGAAGACATCCCTAGTAATAATCATTGCAAGGGGAATTAGATTGGGTTTCTTCTTTTATATCTGAATGACATGCATATGTATATCTAAAGGGGTGTATAATCTATACCCGGCGCATGTCGCTTGAGTACTGAGTTGAAGTGAGCATCCGCCGCTGAGTATTGTACGTTGCTACAAATTGATCGGTAAAGGTATCCCTCTCTATAGAGTGACTAGCGATGAGTTTGCACTATGTTCGTCAGCGAAGTTGGCTATTTTCATATACACCCTAGACTGAAGAAACGTATGGACCTACACACCCCTATTCTCAATAGCAATCTTGTACCAGGTACTACCATCACACCAAGGCCACCTGAATCAAACTTCGTCGCACTGAAAACAGATCAGTTCGCATCCAATGCATTTTGACCTCTTTAAGCTGTCAGACCTGCACCACGAAAGGATGTCAAGTGATACTCGTAGTACAGACAGGGCCAAGAACTTGGTTGGAGAAATTACCATGTGCCGATCGCGGTTAGCCAGGCCTCCATAGTTGACTATTAAAGTCTTACTGACACATCTCATAAACATTCAATGCTGCCATGCACCGTCCAAGTCACTAGTCATGGTACATGTAAGAAAAGAGAAGATTGTGGAGGTATGGTGGTGATAGTTCGTTCCACTTTCACCTCCTATTTTCTCGAAGAATACCGTACTTTCCTAGGGAGGATAGTTCGCCTCCTTTTCAATATCTGCATGAAATGATGAAGATCCATTACGATTACTCCGGTTTTACGTACTGTCGTTCAACATGTACTATGTAGGTATCAAGCGCACGGAGAACCAAATTCGATATCCACCGGACCTGTCAACTAAGACCATTAACCTGGAACACGGGACCGCGAAGCTAGTGGTGGTTATAATTCTTGGCTATAACCTCAGGGACAATGATCGACAGCGTACTTCTCCTTTTGTATTGAATGTCTTGGACGGGACAGATTCTCTTTGTGAGTTAGATTATATTCGACATCGGATACCATTGACAGACTACGGCGGTATACATGATTGTATTAGAGGTGGCAAAAATAGTTAGGTGTGGACGGGAAATTCCTCAAATTTGCAAGGGTTGTGTGATTGAATGGTGACTAGTTGAGCTGCTGAACTAGATGTTCCACTTGCTTGCTTTTCTGTCGCGGGGTGATTTGCAACGACCTCTCCATGGCTGTAGAATATGGCAAATAGTCACATATAATTCCTGCAGGTACAAAATCCAGCACAGGTGAGTGCAGTGCAGAGTCGATAAAGGGTCCGGAGTACTCCACCACTGCGGTATGCAGCCAAGCCAACCAATCAACGATAGTATTCGAATGCCGACCGGGAATGCAGGGGAAAGGGTACTGCTAAAAAGTAATCGAAGTATGGATTGAAACCCCTCAGGTTTTGGAGGAAAGAGAAGACGAGAATCCATTTCAATATCAGATCAGCTCGAATCACACTTTTTTTCCTCTCCTTGTGAGTTGGAGAAAATGAGAAGAGCATTTGATTACTCAGTACAGTAAGTGAGCGACAAGTCCTAAGAGATATTAGCTAATATTCAGCCAAGGGCACCATCCACTGCCTCCTCCCCCTCCTCCCTCCCCCAGCCGCTTTGAAACAGCGGGCTGACCATTGAAGAGTGACGATTGAGCATGACCAAGGCTGGGTTGTGATCCCTTGGCGGGAATTAAGGATTTTTCTCAATGACCAACCGCCGTTTTACACGGGTCGGAGAAGGACGCTCTGGTTTTTCCCTCGCCCACTCCAACCACTGCATCAGCTGCAAGTTCGAAGTGGAGCCCCCACAAGGCTACTATATTTGGGCGCAGTGGTCCAAAGGGCGGCCTCTCTTCCCGGCCCCCTGAAACGATCGTTGTATGGATGAAACCAAGCGTTACCGGATACGAGAGGCAAGCGTTGGTATTTTACGTACGGCATTTCATCTATCCCATGAGTCGTTGTTACTGCGGTGACCCGGGCGCAGGGTGGTAGGTAAGCACAGCCAGCAGCAAGACAGCAGCAGCAAGCCACAGCTCGGGGCTGGGGAGGGGGAGGGGGCAAGTTTGGGATATAGGGTGGATGTCAACTCGAAACGGAGAGGGTGGGGGGTTCCCAACTGAATAGAGGCTGGGAGGGTTGGAAAGATTGACTACATACCGGTAAGCTACCATAGATGTCTAATCATTGTCTATTACCTGTGTGGCTAACATCGTGTGGTAGGTATGCTGGCGAGGGATGGAGAATGAATGCAGGTCTTTTTCCTTCACACTCTCCCATACTCCGTCATGCTTGATAGCAAGACTACCAAATAGCCACCAGGTACCATCCCACCAATTGCTGGCCATAATCCCCAGCACGTTTTTGCTATGAGCTTGTACCTGACCTTGTTCATTTCCCTCTGTAGCGGAACAAAGACGCCATGCCGGGTGATGAAAGAGAATGATCGATTTGTGTTCGTTGTTCTTCTATTCTTTTCAACCACCCGACGTCGGGTCGAGGTGTGGTGTAGGGAAAGGGAGGGGGAAGAAAGGGCTCGGTGGGACAATACGTGACCGCCACCAAATGGTAATGTAATCTACATTACACAGACCCCCTCCAAGAGCACCAGGGAAAGAGCAGGGTCCAAAAAACCCACTGGCCCATAATCAGGGTTCGGACCCTTGATAATTTTAAATCACTTAATGTACGGATAACAGCAAGTGATGTGCGGAGCAATTGATGAGACTGGCCTGTCATCCACGCACCCACCACGCATCTCTCAGGGAAAGGGAGGTGAAAGAGTGTCTTGTCAAGAAGTTAGAAGGGGAAGGAAAATTACATAGAGAAATTGTTGGTGAATGGCAATGACCAGAGCCCATCGATCTTTAATGCAGTTGTAGTGGTGGGGAGGGGGAGGAGGATGACGATGACGAAAGAGGAAATTGTCAAACAGCACTCACTACACTGACTGGCACCTCACCACCACCACACCTACGGCGGGCACCACCACAACAATAATTATTCAAACGATCAACACCACCACGACTCTGAAGGTTGTAAATTGAGTAATGGTAGAGAATTCAGCAGTAAGCAACTAAGTCAGTAAGTAAATGAGTAAGCCAGTGAGCAGCAGTCATAGAACAATGAATGTAGCGAATATTCACCCAGGAGAATCTAAGGCTGGGGATGATGTACATACATACATACTAAAGGTACAGTGCACCTGGCAAACCACCCAGCCTTCTGGTTAGGAATCCAACTGCCACTGCCACCACTTCAGCTATTCTTACATACTCCACCCTCCCAGAAGTAACCAAACGCCCTGCCCCAAAAAAGAAATACACACCTCTCCCATTCCATGAAAGGAAAGCTGTCTCTTTTTTTTCCAATTTCCTTTTTTCTTTCTTCCTTTCTTACTTCACTTCCTCCTTCTCCCCACTGAACCTGAACTGTGCCTGCTGAGACACCAACTTGGTTTCTTTTTTTCCCCTTCCTTCTCCTCCTTTCCTCCCTCCTACTCTTTCCATCCATCTTCTCTATCCCCTCCTCTTCCTTTTCCCTCACGAAACTACGTAAATTGATTTCTTACTTGCTTTCCCACCCCCTCTCACCTTCGTTTTGGGAAAGTCTTGGTTGCCCCGTCGTCCTTCCTCGGGACAACACCACTATCAGCAACAACAATAACAATACAACACAACACACAATCAAATCACTGACCGCTACGCTACGCTAAGCTACGCCCGCGAGTGAGTTCAGTCAGCCCTGGCGGCTTGTTCCACGTTCCTGCTGTCGCCCGCGCATTTCTCTCCTCACGCCTAGCATCGCAGTCGGTTTAAATCATCTTGCTATCCTCCTGCGCATTCGGAATTCTCCCCAGCGACTTGAAATCCCCGCTCCCTACCGCTCTTCGGTCGGAGCCGTTGGCCTGCATCGATTAACGACTCCCTTTGTCTGGTCTGACGTTCCACATCGGCGCATTCCTTGCTCCTTGTTTCCTCGATACCCCCTTCTCGTTGTCCCGCATTGTCCTTCGTAACGATTGTCCTTGCGTTCTGTTCGCATTTGGGGCTTACTTGAGTTTCCGAGTCCATCTCACACGTACAACCGTCTAATCTTCTATCATTAACAATGGCCTACCAGAGCGGTGGCAATCACTCGCCTCCGGGCTACGATGAAGGCGCTGCTGGTCATCAACTCCAAGACATCGGTCATGGTAACAACGTAAGTCTCGATCCTCGGTTGGACGCCAACATCACACCCTTGTCAATCGCGGAGCTAACGTTCGATCATATGTAGTACGAAGAGGAAGCATCCCACGGGTTGTTAGCAAACCAACAAGGCCCATTCACAGGTCCCTTTGACGACCCGCAGCAGCGTGGGCTGTCTCCTCAGCGGCCAACTTCGGGTTATAGCTTGACCGAAACATATGCACCAGAGGCCGCCTATCATGACCCCTACAGCGGCGGTGCCTCTGTGTACTCCGCACAGTCGGGAGAGACCCCGGCTGCTGCCTTTGGTGTTCCTGGCCGCGTCGCTTCCCCCTATGCACGCAGTGAGACTTCGTCGACAGAAGCCTGGCGCCAGCGCCAGGCCCCCAACGGAGGGGGCGGTGGTGGTGGTGGCAATTTGCGCCGGTATGCGACTAGAAAGGTCAAGCTGGTGCAGGGCTCAGTCTTGAGTGTGGACTATCCCGTTCCTAGCGCTATTCAGAACGCCATCCAAGCCAAGTACAGAAACGACCTCGAGGGTGGTAGCGAGGAATTCACGCATATGCGATGTGAGTGCAACTCAGCCCTTACTATTGCGCTATTCGGTGGCTAACCAGACGTTTGGGATTTGTAGATACCGCGGCGACTTGTGATCCCAACGAATTCACCCTCCACAACGGTTACAATCTTCGTCCCGCCATGTACAACAGACACACCGAATTGCTCATCGCCATCACCTATTACAACGAAGACAAGACCCTCACAGCCCGGACTTTGCACGGTGTTATGCAGAACATCCGGGATATTGTGAACCTGAAGAAGTCGGAGTTTTGGAACAAGGGAGGCCCTGCCTGGCAGAAGATTGTGGTTGCATTGGTCTTCGACGGTATCGACCCTTGCGACAAAGATGTGTTGGATGTGCTGGCCACGGTCGGTGTCTACCAAGATGGTGTCATGAAGCGTGACGTTGATGGCAAGGAGACGGTGGCTCACATCGTACGTGCAATATGAGACGAGCATCGCAGGCAGCGCTAATGGTCCATAGTTCGAGTATACGACGCAGCTTTCCGTGACTCCCAACCAGCAGCTGATTCGGCCTACCGATGATGGTCCCAGCACTCTCCCTCCAGTGCAAATGATGTTCTGCTTGAAGCAGAAGAACAGCAAGAAGATCAACTCGCATCGTTGGCTCTTCAACGCTTTCGGCCGCATCCTCAACCCGGAGATCTGCATTCTGCTCGATGCCGGTACCAAGCCAGGTCCCAAGTCCCTTCTCGCCTTGTGGGAGGCTTTCTATAACGACAAGGATTTGGGAGGCGCTTGCGGTGAAATCCACGCCATGTTGGGTAAGGGCTGGAAGAACCTGATCAACCCGCTGGTCGCAGCCCAGAACTTCGAGTATAAGATCAGTAACATTCTGGATAAGCCTCTGGAAAGTTCCTTCGGCTATGTCTCTGTGTTGCCCGGTGCTTTCTCGGCTTACAGATTCCGCGCAATCATGGGTCGTCCTCTTGAGCAATATTTCCACGGTGATCACACCCTTTCCAAGCAGCTGGGTAAGAAGGGTATCGAGGGTATGAACATTTTCAAAAAGAACATGTTCTTGGCCGAAGATCGTATCCTGTGTTTCGAGTTGGTCGCCAAGGCAGGCTCTAAATGGCACCTGTCCTATGTCAAGGCCTCGAAAGCCGAAACCGATGTGCCTGAAGGTGCTCCGGAATTCATTTCTCAGCGTCGTCGGTGGTTGAACGGTTCTTTCGCCGCCGGTATTTACTCTTTGATGCACTTCGGACGCATGTACAAGAGTGGACACAACATCATTCGCATGTTTTTCCTTCACATTCAGATGCTTTATAACGTGTTCTCGACGATCTTGACCTGGTTCTCTTTGGGTAAGTGGGTTCCTCCATTATTCTAACCCTCCTGTTCTGACTTTGTGCCTCTTAGCCTCTTACTGGCTTACAACGTCCGTCATCATGGACCTTGTCGGGACCCCCAGTCAAAGCAACGGCAACACCGGTTTCCCCTTCGGTACTACGGCGACACCCATCATCAACACTCTTGTCAAATACGCATATCTCGGTTTCTTGCTGTTGCAGTTCATTCTCGCCCTTGGTAACCGACCTAAGGGTTCCAAGTTCTCCTACCTTGCGTCGTTTGTGGTATTCGGTATCATCCAGCTATACGTTGTTGTTGACGCACTCTACCTGGTCGTCCGCGCTTTCAGCGGGAGTGCTCCGATGGATTTCGATACGTCTCACGGTGTGGGAGCCTTTCTTGGGTCGTTCTTTGGTTCCACGGGTGCCGGTATCATCATCATCGCCCTTGCTGCCACTTTCGGTCTGTACTTTGTGGCCTCGTTCATGTATATGGACCCGTGGCACATGTTCACCTCGTTCCCTGCGTATATGGCCGTGCAGTCGTCGTACATCAACATCCTGAATGTCTATGCCTTCAGCAATTGGCACGATGTGTCCTGGGGTACCAAGGGTTCGGACAAGGCTGATGCACTCCCTTCTGCCAAAACGACCAAGGAGAACGATGGTAAGGAGGCCGTGATTGAAGAAATCGACAAGCCGCAGGCCGATATTGACAGCCAGTTCGAGGCTACTGTGAAACGGGCATTGACGCCTTATGTGCCGCCGGTTGAGAAGGAGGAGAAGAGCTTGGATGACTCATACAAGAGTTTCCGTACCCGCCTGGTGACGTTTTGGATCTTCAGTAATGCGCTGCTTGCGGTCTGTATCACTAGCGACGGCGTGGATAAGTTCGGCTTCACGGTATGTAATCTGTGTCTGTTGCGTCTGGGAGATGAAGATGAACTTGCCACTGACATATTCTTGCAGAACTCTGCTACCACCCGGACATCGCGTTTCTTCCAGGCGCTGTTGTGGTCGAACGCCGTTGTGGCCCTCTTCCGTTTCATCGGAGCCTGCTGGTTCTTGGGTAAGACGGGAGTGATGTGCTGCTTCGCCCGGCGGTAGAGGAAAGAGTATTAATGAAAAAGCTGGCAAGGAGAGGTGGCTTGCGGCACGCATGGCAGGCAGGAACCTCACGGAGTTATTCTTGGCACATTTTTGTTGCAATTTTGTATTCTACATATGATGCTTGTTTCTCGTCGTGTGAGAATGAGTGAGTGGTGCGTGGGTTCGGTTTTCTTTCGCTTTTCTTTTCTCTTTTGATTGGATTGCACATTCCGAACGACTGCAGGCATTTGCGATGTTTGTAGACAATACCTAGCGTTAAGAATCAAATGATTACTGTCCCGTATTGCTTGTTAGAGCATGAGCATGAGATGATGTCTAGTAGATTTGGTCAGTGCAGGCGGTGATCGAAGGCGGCAGGGAAAGGCAGAAGGAACAGTAGTGCCACAATGGAGGAGATGGCGTCAGGCCGCCGCTCTCCTCCGCTCTCCGCCTCCGCCTCTGCTTCTGCCTCTTGCCTGGGAAGGTTTGGAAGAGATTTTATTGTTATAGGCGTTGTCTGGGTGAGTTCGCTCTTTGCATTCAAGGACGGGGTCTGGTGTCTTGTAGAGGGCGCTTTCTTTTCTGTCTGATTGTGGCAAATTCTTCCATCGCTTACCTGAGGAGGACCCCGCAGCTTTCCCCTCTGCATCTTCGGACTCGACCTACCGACATACACCACGACACCAGAGTTGAAGCTTACCTCGCTCTGATACTCCCACCCTTGCGCATCCATCTCACCTGGACAAGCTCACTTCTAAAGTCTGCGTGGTTGTCGAGAACCTAGGACGTCAAGATGTTGAAAATATGGTCGATGGTATGCCCCCGTCTTCTCTCTTCTTTACACCTTGGATGATACCACCTCATACTAACCCTGATTGACTCGGTGCAGAAGCAACAACAGCAACAAGCTGAAAATGCCGAAGGTGCTGCCGGCAAGAAGAAGAAGAAGGTCACCGCTGCTCAGTTGCGTGTTCAGAGAGGTAAGGCCCTCCCCTCCTTGTCCCCTTCCCCAGTCCTCTTACCAACCCTCCCATCCCATCTCTGCCACCACCCGACCACTAATCCAGAATCCAAATCACAAAATTTAGACCTGCAAGAACTCACCCTCGGCTCCACCATGAAAATGACCTTCCCGAACCCCGATGACATCCTCAACTTCGTTCTCGTGATCTCCCCCGATGAAGGCATGTACAAGGGCGGCCACTTCCATTTCAGCTTCAGCGTGAACCAGAACTTCCCGCACGACCCGCCGAAGGTGAAATGTACGCAGAAGATCTACCACCCGAATATCGACCTGGAGGGCAATGTGTGCTTGAACATTCTGCGGGAGGACTGGAAGCCGGTCCTGAACCTGAATGCGGTGATTGTCGGACTGCAGTTTTTGTTCCTCGAGCCGAATGCCTCGGATCCACTCAACAAGGATGCGGCGGAGGATCTGAGGGGCAACCGGGAGGGGTTCAAGAGGAATGTCAGGGGGGCGATGCAGGGAGGTATGGTCAGGGGAGTGAAGTTCGATGATGTCCTTCGTTAGGAGAGTTCCTTTTTTGGGGAGGGGGGAGGGGGGCATGAATGGGGAATGAGGTTGTGGGTGATTGGTGTGCTGGGGTGATTCTATCTGGGTGTGAGGGTGGAGGGTGACGCGAAGGGTAAGAAGGTGTGATCATTGCATTTGTTCATTTGAATTATTTATTAGCGACTGGATAGATTCCCTGCTCCTGTTTCTGCTTTTACTTCCGCTGCTGTTGTACTGTTACTGTTATGAAAGAGATGATCTAGCCTGTGTCTTTTTGTTCTCCGCGTTGGTTGATACTAGGAATAAGGTGAAGTCAATCCTCGCCTGGTCTCTAAAAGGCTCAGAGATGATTGTGCAACTCTCAGACCAGCATCCTATGGATTGGTTACTCAAGTTCGGTGTACTCGTCTTATCATAAACCCAGTAAGACGGATGCATTGTGAGTCATGGCTTATCACTTACTGGGGGCTTACATTCAACGCCCCTTCGACTTGCAATCGACAAACTGGTAATAGATAAAACCAGCACAGTGAGTACTAAATTGCTCTGGCTTGCTCAGACTCTATGAGTAGAGAGGAATCAAAACCGCCTGCACACGCAAACCACTACCTTGCCTCCGGATATCTAAATCTAGTCAACCACAAAACACCACAGAGAATGTCTCATGCCGACACAACCGGACAGTGACCCGTGCAGTGGATGATACTGGTACAGGTACAGACACAGAACGAAGCCAGATCGGATCGAATCGAGATTGGACTAAATAGACAAGAGAGATAAATGCTTGATTGAGACTAATTCAACATAGTACCACACGGCTCGACAGTGCCAGTACCCGGAACAGGAATCACAAGTCGATCTAGGCCTGCTGGGCGGCACGCTCAGCCTCCAGGCGGGTGTAGTAGTTGTCACGGGCGCGGACGCGGGGAAGGTGGTAGCCTGGTTTCGGGTTGTTAGCTTTGAGAGCTTGCAGATGGGCATGTCACTGCCTTGGGGTGAGTTCAGAGGAAGCGATTGTACGTACCGTACCACCAGAGGTAGCCGAAGGTGGTGCCGAAGCCTGCATTCGAGAGATCGGTGGTCAGTTTTGGGTTTCTTAAGAGGTTGTATAATTGGCTTGGGTTTGCGCGGATCAGGATGGACGGGGCCGGGGACTGGCGCGGTGGGATGAAGGTAGTGGGGAGACCTTCAAGCGCAGGTCGTGTGGGCATTTCAAGATTGGGTGTGTGGGTTATGGGATGGATTATGAGGTTGTTGCGTGAGGTTCGAATGTGCGATTGACTAGCTGACTCGCGACAAGCAGGCAAGCAGGCAGGCGTAATGAGGACTCACCGAAGGCGGTGCTCAGGTCGAGAACCAGAGTGCGGCGGAGCATCTGTTTGTTTGAAAGCTGTTAGTCCTGATGATCTTGCGGGGAGCGTGATGTAGGGGCTGTGCCATTGGCATGGCATGGCATGGCATCATGGCATGGGGTGTGGGATGATCGGGTTCTGATGGTTGGCTGGTTGGAATTGAGATTGAGAGCAAGGGAAACACATACGCCGGTGATAGGACGGATGGTGGCAGCCATTGTGATCAATTGGATGCAATTGTACCCGGAGATCTGGAGGAGGAGTAGGTGGTGGTGGTGGTGGTGGTGGGGAAGTGGAGGAGAAGAAAGTAGCAGCGGTGATGTCGAAGTGAAAGTCGGAAGTTGGAGGTGAAGCTTTCCCGGGCCGGGGTGTAGTAAGCGACCGCTGTGAGTGGCCTGACGGTTGGGTTGATCTACTGTGTAGAGAAATCCTTAGTACTACCACATGATTAAGATACAAGTGTAAAGTATTACATTGTGTGACTACTTGATGCTAGAATTCAAAGCTTTTTCTACTTGGCTGGCGTACTGGCAGTATGCACAAAATGAACGCTCAATCACAGCTTGGTGAGGGTGGTCTAAGGTGACGGTGATTGTTCCTGCCTCAGGTGTCACGCTTTGTGCCTGCGATGCCGTACACGTGATCGCCAGTTGCGGCGGGCGTGTTTCCCGCCCGGCTTCTCTGCTTCCTCAGCTCTCTCCATCATGACCATCCCAACGGCGCCATGGTCGAGTCAGAACCAACCATCAAGCGCTCCGCCTCTTCCTCCTCGCCTGAAGATGGACTGGATCCTCCTGGCGCAAAGCGCATCAAGCGTCACTACCACCACCATCACCGCCTGCAGAGCCCCGTTAACCCAGCTCTACCGGAACCCGCCATCGTCGACGACGCTTGCGTTGACCAGCTTTTAAACCGGTCCATCAGTCAATATTTACGAACATGCGGGTTCGAACTCGCAGACCCTGCCGCGCTGGACGCTTTTCGCAGGGTGACTGAAGAGTGTATGTGGGCATTGCTCCTGGTCTTATATGGATAAAGTACAAAACCAGAATCCGTGACACGATGTTGACACAGCGGCCCGTATTTAGATGTCTTGAGCGTCGCATCCTACGTGCGACAATCCATGCTATCGAGCCGACGCACTCAGCCCATTCCTCATGATTTTGACGACGCCCTACGCCGTCACTCTGTCCCGTACACCGACCTCCTCCCACACGTTCAACCTCATCCCAACCTCGACCCCATCCCGACCCCTCAGCCCACTCCCCCGCCAGAAGAAGACTCTTTCAAGACCCTCCCATCCTTTGGGCCACAGCTCAGCGGCGAGGACGACCGCGTCCGAAGCTCCTACATCCCGAAACACTTCCCCGCCTTCCCCAGCAAACACACCTACCGCCATACGGCAGTCTTCACAGAACGCGAGCAGGACGCTCGGAAGATTCGCGAACGCGCTACTGAGGATGGCCGGCATGGAGAGGAGGCACTGCGCAAGCTGGCGCGGGCGGCCTTCAAGGACAACCAGTTTGGGTCCTCGGCGCGCGAGAAGAAACCCTGGGGCCGGCGCGCAGAGACGATGGATAGTATGTTTGAGAAGACTGTAAGGGGGCTGGCGAAACGGATGCAGCGGACCGCCACGGTGCCGGGTGCGGCGGCGCCCATGGAAATTGATTCAGGAGCTGGGTTGGATACGGAGGTCAAGCCGGTTCGGTCCAAGCTCGCGTTAAGCATTGAGTTGCCACCTATCATCAATTGCGAGCGGGAGTTTTGGCGGCGAGTGCCGTCGTCGGGGGCGCGGAGAGCAGCAGAGGATAAGCAATCTGGCGTGAAGAAGGAGGCCCATGATAGAGCTTCCCGGGTGGACAGCTGGGTGAGCACTTGATGGGGAGGCGATGGGTGTGGTTGTATATGATGGGTGGGTGTGCAATGGCAGCATGCACGGGCGTCATGGGGGGCGTTTCACCTTGTTTTCCTTCTCTTTTTTTTTAACCTTGCATGATCACAGTGAAGATACCCATGGAGTAGAGTTTTGAAATCAAATTCAAAATGTTTGGCTAATCAGTGAGCACCAACATAATCTTTCACCCAAGTAACGCCATAACTTCCACACTCCAACGCCGCATATAATGCTAGCAAATGCAACCCAGTGTTCATCGTACATTTCATGCCTTCACGACCTGCTCTGCAGCGGCGCCGCGTTTCCGCTCTTCCTCCTCCTTCTGAAGTCTCATCGGTTCCCATGCGGTCGTCTCAACGGTCAATCCTCCGGCGCATCTTATGTGGTAAGGTAGCGTCAGAAATCTCAGCAGCGATGGTGAAATAAGCAGCACTGGCCTTTTAGGGCGTCTTTTTGTGATCAAGAAAAGGAAGAGAAAGAAAGTAAAGTAAAATTCTTACCTTCGAAACAGGCGCACAACCGGTTGACAAACGATGACACCAGGCTTGGGGATCCCGCCTTGAGGAGGATTACACGAGTATTGTACCATCTCCAGCAGCTGGCATTTCTCCAGCTCGACGGGGCCGCCCTTGCGACGCTTCTCTTGAAAGTTCTTGGTCGAGATGTTGACGTGCTCGGGGAGGGTCTCGGCGTGGAAGACGGGGACGAGGGGTGCCATGGTCTTTGAGGTTGATGTGGTAGGAGAACCTTGATCGAATTGATGCGATGATGTCAGAATCCGCGGAGCTGATGGGTGATATTGGGTTTGCGATTCGGTTGATTCAACGATTGATTCGTATTGATACTGGTAGAGTATTCGGAGCGAAATGCGGAGGAAGCGGAGGAAGCGGAGGAGGAGAGTTGGGAAAGTGGAAAGGTGAGGGGAGCGGAAGGCTTTCCGGCGCGCGACGGAGCTGGTGGATTGCTGTCACTGATTTCACCACCTTCCAAGGTCGGAACGGACAGTAGCCAGATGCTATGCTACACGATCTCGGGAACTCCTTGAGTAACTGCAGGTGCTTGGGCGTCAAATATGGCGGCTAGCTTTGGAGAAAGATTACTGACGGAAGTGCATGAGGAGAGGCTGGACGAGGTCGGTATTGCATCATATACATATCTTGATGCGTGCTGATGGTCAACGTCAAGCTTCGCGCTCTATTTCAAGAAACTGACTGATCGTTATAGCTCTTGCATAATCTCAGAGAACTATACCAAGAATGTATCGGAAGCGATATCCTGAAGCCTCGCTTGGGGGTCGACGAGCTCGACAAACTCTTGGGTATTTTTACTGCACCCGTTCCGTCGGGACAGTCTGGAGCAGATGCTGCACAGGAAGTACTTCAGCTCGACCCAGAGCATGATCCTGACGATGAACTTGCACATGATCCACCTGGGATAACTGCCAATACTCATCCTGCCGGTATCACGGTGCCTGCCTATACGAGCCATGCAGAACCCGTCTTGGAGATATCTAGCACGTCTTCTGCAGCAGGAAAGACTAATTTGCTATACTATATCACTGCTCTCGCTGTTCTGCCGGCCGAGATTAACGGCTTTAAGATAGGAGGGCATGACTCGGCGGTGGTCTTCATGGACACCGATGGACGCTTCGATGCCGAGCGACTGCGTTCTGTCCTTTGCGGCATTGTTAAGGTCAAATGCGGAGCACAGGATATGAGTCGACTTGACGAGGAAATGGAGAGGATGACCGTGTCTTGCTTGAGACATGTCCATGTCTTCCAGCCCCAGTCTTCGTCGGCCCTTCTTGCCACACTCCAGCGGTTGGATACTTACCTCCTAGATCTCGCCCGCCATGTATCCAGCTCTCGAGCACTCCAGCTGCTGATCCTGGACAGTGCCAATGCTTTCTACTGGCAGGATAAGTTACAAGATGAGATAACTCGCGTCGAACAAATAGGGCGTCCGGCTGCAGACATTGAGAACGATCGCCGCCAGAAACAGAGCTTCTATCTGTTCGACATGTACACGGAGTTGGTGAGGGAGTTGAAGCGACTGCAGCGCGTATTTGGCTGTGCAGTTGTCTTTACCACTACTGCTGCTCCACATACAACACCAAGCCGTCATTCACATGGATACCGACCCTCTGGACCATATGACCTTTATAACCCTTCTGATGCGCCTGCCTTCCGGAGGCCGTCGTTCCGATCGGCTCTTCCAGCACCGTGGCGGACTTTCCCTGTATTACGAGTGGTTGTCCAGCGTGATCCGGTTCGGCCGTTTCCTGCTGCGATGGGCTTGCAGGAGGCTGAAGAGAATGCGGCCAAGCGGCAGGAGATACTCATGCGTGGCCGATTCTCTGGATGGGTGAATATGTGGGGACGTGAAGACTGGCCGCGGAGATGGCTCGAGGGTGTTGAGGCACTAGATGGAGGAATGTTTTTCTTTCGGATTGGTAGAGATGGAGTGCAATTCCGATAAATTCTCTAAGTGGGTATTCACGCAATGTGCAGATGACGCTGCTCTCATATATGCACAGCACTCAGCTATACAGCTTGGCAATCGCTTCGACAGTTGTGTTGCCTCCGCTGAAGACAATGCCCACATCCCAACCGTTGGGAGCTTCCTTCTCCACGAGACGTCGGAATTCCTCATTATACAGACAAACCGCCAACCCCACAACGGCACTCGGTTCAACAACAGCCTTCATACGTTCCAAAACCAACCTCATCGCGGCCTTGATCTGCTCCTCTGTCACGGCAAAAGCACCGGCCACCTTGTTCTTATCTGAAATCACCTCCCAGTTTAAGAGACCAACAGGAGTGCGCAGTCCGTCCGCAATCGTTAAGGTCGACACTGCTGGAACGCGTTTCCCGGCCGCAAGACCGCGCCGGCAGTCATCTGCACCCTCGAAGCTAGGCTCGGCACCAAACACCTTGGTCGTCTTATCAGAGAAGAAGGTTGCAACACCAGCATTGAGACCACCGCCACCGACCGGTGTGATCACAGCATCGAGCACCGGAAGTTCCTGGTGAACGCTCAAATGCGGCTTCTCTGTAACAAGCTTTTTGTATTGCTTCTCCAGCTCCAGGGCTGTTGTTCCCTGCCCGCAGATAATGTTGAAATCATCGTACGGTGGTACCAAGATTGCCCCCGTCCTTGCCTGCACTTCTTCGACGACAGCCTCCCGCTCCACACTCGTCGACCCACTGAAGATAATCTCTGCGCCATGGGAGCGCGTTCCCGCGATTTTCGACGGTGTGCTGATGCTGGGCATAATGATGTAGGCGGGGACTGAGAGGGTGGAGGCGGCCAGAGCAAGGGCTTGGGCATGGTTCCCTGTAGAGTGCAAGCTGGTATTAGCATGATATGTGTGGCTTGAGTTCTGAGGAGTCAGTCAGTGATGCTTGACATACCTGAGCTATGCGTGATCACCCCGCGCTTTTGTACTTCCTCTTGACCCCGCTCTTCGATAAGTCGCAGCAAGGCGTGGAACGCGCCTCGGGCCTTGAAGGCGCCAATCCGCTGGAAGTTCTCACATTTGAAGAAGAATCGAATTTTGGGGTTGGCGGGCGATTGTCCTTCGAAAGGGGTCCCGTTCAAAGCTTCCGGGGATTGTGGAGTTGAAGCGATGTTGTTGAGGGTTTGGTTGGTGAGGAGAGGCGTGCGGTGCACGTACGGCTGGATAAGGGAATAGGCATCCTGCACAGCGGACGGAGTGAGGGATTGAACTAAGACTTTGGGATCGGACATGATAATTTTTCAGTGAGATTTGGTTTGAAGAACGACTCTAGTCAATTTGCCCTGTCAGCTTTTGGTAAGATAAAAGGGTTGAGGTGCCCGGTGGAATGAGCGAGTCTCCGGAGATAATGGCGCAATTAAGCGTAGACACCTGATATCCGCAGTGAATTCAATTCCCCGCCACTCCGGGAGGGACCGTACGTACATGCACGGAGTCCTGAGCTGCAGGACACACAGTATGAGTCATACATCTTGATAGGAAGCTCCAGCAGCGGCCGGTTATCTACTCGTAGCAAGATGGTACAATACAGTATAGGTGCAGAAGTGCGTTAACTTGGAACGGTTCGACAGATCCAATCGGGGATAGTGCGGGACTCCGGCGTGAATAACAGAAGCACGTGACAACTTAATGCCCAAAGGGGAAATTTGGAGGGGCACTCAATTTCCCCTCGGCCTGGCTGGATTTCCGCCGACGCATTGCCCAGCTCCTTTTTCTTCTCTCTCCTTTCACCTCCAGACTGCATAGACACTGCCAGGATGGCCGAAAACGCGCCCGCGGCTGAGAACAAGCCTGCCCATGAGCAGGACATTAACCCCTGGTCTGTGGAGGGTGGACGCGACGAGAACGGCGAGGTCGTTGCTATCGACTATGAGGCCATCTGTCGGTACGTGCGATTGCACTTCTCATCTTGGGCTAATGCTGACGGACCCTGGATGTGTACAGGAAATGGAATACTTCGATCATCGACGAAAAGCTTCTCGAGCGTTTCGAGAAGGTCACCGGACACAAGCCGCACCGCTGGCTCCGCCGCGGCTTGTTCTTCAGCCACCGTGACTTCGACCGGATCCTGACCCTTTACGAACGGGGTGAGCCTTTCTTCCTCTACACCGGCCGTGGGCCCAGCAGTGGCAGTTTGCACCTCGGTCACACCATTCCCCTCCAGTTCACCAAGTGGCTGCAGGATGTATTCGACGTCCCACTCGTCTTCATGCTTACGGACGACGAGAAGGCGTTGTTCAAGGACAACATCTCCTTCGAGGATGCTCTGGGTTTCGCCATGGAGAATGCCAAGGATATCATTGCGCTTGGGTTTGACCTGAAGAAGACCTTTATCTACAGCGACTTGAAGTACATCAGCAACCACATTTTGATGAACGCCTGGGAGTTCTCCAGTCTGGTCACTTTCAACCAAGTCCGTGGCGCGTTCGGGTTCAACGAGAGGTATGTTCTCCTGTATCTATGCTGACCACTCATCTCTTTTCTGACACCTGTCCTATTTGGTTGGTAGCACTAACGTCGGCCGCATCTTCTTCCCCGCCGTGCAGTGTGTCGCCGCCTTCGCGACCTCCTACCCCGAAATTTGGAAGGACGAGCCCCTCCAGGAACGCACGCAAGAGATCGCCAACATCCAATGTCTGATCCCCATGGGTATCGACCAGGACCCGTACTTCCGTCTGCTCCGGGAAAACGCCCACCGCATGAAGTTCCCGTCTCCCAAGCCGGCGCTCATCCACTCCAAGTTCCTCACGGCCCTGCAAGGTGCCGGCGGCAAGATGTCTGCGTCGGAACCCAACTCGGCGATCTTCATGACCGATACTGCTAAGCAGATCAAAGTACGTACCTCAATTTCCTCAAGCATTAAAATTCCCAGCCCCCTCACTAATTCATTCTTCTTGTGCGTAACAGACCAAGATCAACAAATACGCCTTCAGTGGCGGCCAGGTCAGCATCGAGGACCACCGCCGCTTGGGCGGCAATCCGGACGTCGACGTCTCATACATCTACCTGACCTACTTCGAGGAGGACGATGCCAAGCTGGCCGAGGTGTACGACAGCTACAAGAAGGGGGATCTGCTGACGGGTGAGCTGAAGAAAATGACCATCGAGGTGCTGCAGGAGTACGTCGCGCAGTTCCAGGAGAAGCGCAAGGAGGTCTCGGACGAGGTGCTGGCCGCGTACATGAAGCCCCGCAAGCTCGAGTGGAAGGGAAACCCCCACCCCGTGCCCGCGCCCCCGGAGGAGACGCTGGCTGAGCGGCCAAAGAATGAGAAGAAGGAGAAGAAGGAGAAGAATAAAAAGGCGTGACTAGGTCGTTCACGTTCGGTGGATAAGGGTAGAGAGGATTTTCGAGGGGATGATTTAGACATATACCATTTTTGTTTGAGGTGTTTCTCGTCCTTTATCTTGTCTGAAAAAGTAGGTACGAGGTTAGGTCGTGGTAAGCATATCCTGCTTTGCCGGTAGTGGAAGGTAAGCTACGTATAGACAGCGACAGAGATGGATGGATACTTTGTCTACTTTCGTCGAGAGAAAGGCACTGCAGCGAAAGCCTACGGCCAACTACCTAAAACGTCCGCTGACAGGCGATCGAAGTTCCGTGGTTAGTTGGTGCTTTAACAGCGTTTGCAGTACTTCTGTCCCTTGGGTCACTTACGACGTGGATTTAGGGATCGTCTGCCTAGATATCAAAGTTTACAATGAGGCTCAGAAAGTGACATGCTGAAAACAACTCCTATAGACACAAAGTTCATCGAAGAGAACGAGCGTTTTGTTTTCTCTCCTTCCCCTCTAATTCGATGGGTGACATTGTTACAAATTTCCCGATATCGGGGCACACGGTGGTGTTGTTTAATGGTCGGTAGCTGAAGATCGGGCTCCCGGAGTCGGGGTCCGCACTCCGACTGGTCCATTCAGACTTGGAGTACGGTAGCTGCAGCCGAGCCCGGAACGCACAGTCGGTTTTTAAGTGGGGGGAGGGGAGGGAAGAAAGCCTCGACCTCGACCTCGACCTTTCCCCGGATTTTGCCGGTTCGATGAGTCATACACTTTTTCCTATGCTTCGAGTGTGTGCCTTCGGATCTAACTAGTGTCTAAGGATTGAAAACGAGATGCGGTAGAAAGTAAGAATTTATGGTAACGATATTTCCGATTATACACCAGTAGATAGGATAGGTTTGAACAAAAAAGAAAAAGAAGAAAAGGAAATCCTAAACAGTTCACATCATAGTACAGTCGTAAAACTTTTCCCCCCAGGGGTTTCTATCCCGATCTCAAAGAATTCAGAAAAAGATGAAGTGACTGATTTACTTCTGGTTCTCGGGGCGGAGGGAGCTGTAGACATTTCAAGTTAGCATTGGTGTTGATTGACAATGATAATTTTCCGGGAGGAACATACCGAACAGCCTTTCCGGCGCGCCAGATCTCGAGATCACGGATGTCCTGCATCTCCTTCTCGTACTTCTCGCGGTAGTCCTTCTGGGAGTTGTAGTCCAGGGAGCGCTGGGTCTCGGTACCGTCGCGGACGGCGTCGTACAGCTCGTTGAAGAGGGGCTTGAGGTTGTCCTTGAAGCGAGCGGACCAGTCGATGGCACCACGGCGGGCGGTGGTGGAGCAGGCGGCGTACATCCAGTCCATGCCGTTGGCACCGATCAGAGGGTAGAGGGACTGAGTGGCCTCCTCGACGGTCTCGTTGAAAGCCTCGGAGGGGCTGTGGCCACGCTCACGGAGGACCTCGTACTGGGCGAGGAACATACCGTGGATACCACCCATCAGGCAGCCACGCTCACCGTACAGATCGGAGTAGACCTCCTTCTCGAAGGTGGTCTCGTACAGGTATCCGGAGCCAACGGCGACACCCAGGGCGATGGCCTTCTCCTTGGCCTTGCCAGTGACGTCCTGGAAGACGGCGACGGAGGAGTTGATGCCGCGGCCCTCACGGAAGAGGGAGCGGACGGTGCGGCCAGAGCCCTTGGGAGCGACGAGGATGACGTCGACGTCCTCGGGGACCTCGACCTTGGTCTTCTCCTTGAAGACGGGGGAGAAACCGTGGGAGAAGTAGAGGGTCTTGCCCTTGGTGATCAGGGGCTTCAGCTGGGGCCAGGTCTCGGACTGTGCAGCGTCGGAGAGCAGGTTCATGACGATGGTACCCTTCTTGACGGCGGTCTCGACGTCGAACAGGTTCTTGCCGGGAACCCAGCCGTCCTGGATGGCCTCCTTCCACGAGGCACCGTCCTTGCGGACACCGACGATGACGTTGAGACCCTGGTCGCGCAGGTTCAGACCCTGGCCGTGACCCTGGGAGCCGTAGCCGATCAGGGCAAGGGTGTCGTTCTTGAAGTACTCCTGGAGCTTCTCACGGGGCCAGTCCTCACGCTCGTAGACGGTCTCCTGGCTGTCGGCAAAGGTCATGGTCTTGACGCCGCGGGCGGGGGTGATCGGGGCGGCGGTCACGCGGGGAACGGCGGCGGTGGCAGCCTTGAGGGCGGGCCGGGGGAGGGCGGCGGAGAGCACGGAGCGAGGGGCACCAACGCGGGCCAGGCGGAGGGCACGGGGAAGTCCACGAGAGGCCATTGTGTGTATGTGTGTGGATGAGAAATAGGACGAAAGAAGGAAGGAGAAAAGAGGCGAATGGAGGATGGAGGAGGATAAAGGGAAGAGAGGAGAGTGGAAAAGAATTGATGAGATGGAGAAGAAGAAGAAGAATAGAAAGGAGGACAGCTGCAGCTCTCGTCCATTTTATAAACTCGTTGCTGGGGACGAGATCGGCCGGCGGCGATTCACGTGATCCGGAGTTTGACAATTGCTCCCCGGCCGATGTCGGATTGTACGGCTGCTGATTGGTTTCTCGGTGGATCAACCGTGGGTTGCCGCAAGCGGCCTTGGCTGGGTGTAGTTAGTCTCGGCTCCTGCTTCGGGGTCCGTCACATGAGTCACTCCGGGGTCCAGCCCCGATGCCACTCCGATTATCATTTTGTAGATCTAGGACAACTCTTTCGGTTCGATCTGGGGAACCCCGAGGGTCAAGGCTCACTGGATTGGTGGTGGTATGGAAGGTTAATCTATATTCGTGACCAACTCAAACTGTCGCTCTCTGGTACCCGCCCCCCCTCCTCCTCTCCCAATACTCGAGGAACAGTGGGCGATAGAGGTCAAGAATAGCAATCGAGGTGCTCTGAGTCACAGCTTGTATGCTCAGATGCTAGGGGTCGACCCTTCTGGGTTTCTTCGTACTGCGTCGCGATCGTCTCGATCTGGGCCATGTTCTGCGCGGCTTGAACGAGGGTGAACACAGCCGTCGACACGCTCAGCACGATGTCGTCCAGGGGCCCGCCCCACGCGCCGGAGCTAATCAGGATCCTCGTGAGGGTGAGTGTATTGCTCAGGTTCTGGATGTTGGGCAAACTCGACTGGACGATGGTGGCCGGGGTCGGTGACAACCAGATCAGCCGCCGCCACGGGGTAGCCCTTCCAGGTGTAGGTCTGCTCGTGGCATACCGTACCCGTGAGGGTGTTTGTCGTTGAGGGGAGCAGTGATTATGAATGACGCGCTCGCCCAGCTGCACCCAACTCGACTGCAGCCCGTAGTCACTCAACAGCATATCCCACAATCCTGTCGCATTCACCAGGTCGTAGTAGACGATGCTATTGATGTCTACGTCGTCTGTGGTCTGTGGGACCTGGTACGGGCAGCTGGTGGTGGAGATGTTCGTGATCCCGCCGGCGCTGTAGGTGCACTCGAAGTATGCGTTTCCCCCGCCTCCCGCCGCCATCAGCGTGTCCAGTACCTCGAGCACCTCCTTCTTGACGAAGCTGACATAGTCTTCAAACTTATCATGATAGCTGCTGTTTACTTGCGTGTAATTTGCCAGGGCGGAGTCTAGCATACTCGACAGGGCCCCGATAAGATAGTAGTTCACACAGCTGGCATTGTAGCTCGGGGCCGCGGCGGAAAGGTCGGTAAAACTGGCGAAGGAGACGCTGTAGTTGCAACCCGTGCAAACTTCTTCGTTACATACGGCGCGTGTGTCCGTCCCATCGTCTGCACAAACCAAATCTTCGTCGTCGTCGTTGTCGTCATCGTCAGTGCCGGTGGTGGATGTATCGTCCAGACATGTAGGAGACGGACAGTATCCCCTCTCGCAGGCAAACTCGCACAAGCCACTGTCAGAGCCGCTACCGCTGTAGAATCCGTAAATGCTGGTGTTCGCGGCAGGGGGCAGATCCAAGGGCCCTGTGAAGGTGCATGTGCAATTGTGAATGGGACAGAATCCATAGTTGCAGGCATAATTGCAGAGCCCAGCGAGATTACCCTCCCCTTGGCCGGCGGTGCAGGTGGTCGGGGTAAAAGGCGAAGCAGTGGTGACAGTTAGGGCTACTTCGATGGTCCCGCAAGCCGTGGGCGGGCAATAGCCGTAATTGCAGGCAAAGGCACAGAGTCTACTGTAATCCGCCGTCTCCCCAGTGATGGGATATCCCACTACTCCCAGACTCTTGCGCAGCTCCGGCTGCGGGCCTATTTTCTTGCGCAGACACGTACCCACCGAGCAATACCCGAGACTACAGGTAAACGCACAGAATCCATCGAAAATCCCCGTACTTCACCTCTCGATACACACAGCGTTTAGGAGAGAGTATGTAGGCGTCGCGTCAATCGTGGCCGAGGCCATCGCGCTTCCCACCCAGGCATTCCAATTTTCGATATTTGTGCTACTCGAGCACCCGATCACGATGTCCGCACCCGTAAAACTAGCAATGGCAGCTCCGTCGCGCGAGATTGTGACCTCAACTGGGCCATCCTGCACAGAGAAGCTCACAAATCCGTGATATATACCTGCACCCCCGCTTGGAGTGCTGTTCCACTGCGCACCCATGTTCTCACTGCCGATGGTTATTGGAATATCTGCCGCCGACCCGAGCAACGCAGAGAAGAAGACCTTGTTCTGCCCAATCTTATAGGGCCAATACTCCAGCTGAAGCTGGCTGGCGGTATTACCCGTGGTGCCGCCGTCCGACACGCACTCTCCCCCAACATTGCGCCTATACCACGCCTGAACTTCCTCCTGGGTGATGGTCGGGATGTTTTGCTTATACGTGTCAACCAACCAGGGGAGGAATACGCGCCAGCCGTCGTGCGGCATTTCCAGCACGTAGTTGTGAGGGGCCTCGCCGGTGCCGAATGCTATATATGTTGAGTTGGCAAGAGCTGATCCAGAAGCTTGGATAGGCCCAATAGTGGGACTCACCAAAGTCGTTCCACGATATGATCTCAATGAATTCGGGCGCCAGGTACATAGCTTGTTCCCAGCGATCATACCAAAGGTCGTCGCCCCGCCAAAGCCAATTCTTATCATATCCCAGGCATATTGGTGAAGAACCACGGAGAGACCGGCATCATGTATGGCTTACCGTCTAAGAAGTCGATATACGAGGCATCAATATACGTGTTCATGTCGCTGGGTCCGTACGGCCACGCCGCTCAGCTGAATAGCCCATCTGCAACACCGTCCGCAAGCCCTGCTGCTGCCTTTGCCCCGACTGAGGACCAGTCCGGGATAAAGAAACACCCCGTCTGCTCCTTGATGAAGACCCAGTCAGCCGCGTTGGCCGGGCCCTCGAAGGTGCTGACGAGGGGCTTGCCGGCATGCTGGAAATACGCCCCGGTCAGCGCGTAGGTGGAAATCATGCTGACCACGTCGGACTCGGCCCAGGCCCCATTTCCGGCATAGTCAAAGCTGAAGAACAGACTGAAGCCCACATTTTCGGCCGCCAAGAAGGCGTTGGCAACCGGGCCGGTGTTGGTGGCATCTCCGACAGCAATGTTCAGAGCGAAGGCGTCGAGATTGGCCTCGTTGGCCAGCGTCATCTCATCTTCCCAATCGTCTACGGTATATTGCAGAGTATTAGATACCATAAAGTGGGCGAAGACAGCCCGAGCCTGGGTCTGAAGTGTTGCCAGGCAAAGGGAAAGAATGAATTGCAGAGCAAGCAGCATCCTGACGAGTGAAAGTTGTAATGAACTGGGGAAAATGAGCGACCGAATGCAATTAGAAAGATAGAAGGAACGGACAAATGAAGGAAGGACTGAAGGAACGAATGAATAAATGAATGAATGAACGAATGGGCTTGGAAACGTGAAGGTTAGAAGGAAAGAAAGGACATCGCAAGAAGCTATAACATTCGAAGGATAGAAGCACCCGAGGTCGGTCTTGCATTCATTCTGTCGTCTCGTATATCTCCCCAATCTTCGCCCAACGCGATCCACCCCTTTTCATATTTCGAGTGCGATTCGAAAGTCTTGAAGCCATGTATTTAATCATCGTGACTTCAATCACTCATACGACTGTAATACGGTAATACACGGTATGGAACCACGGCCATCAGCGTACGGACTGCCGTTATTGCCGGGGGCTATGGTGGTAAACAATACACGCACTATATCACCAGCATCGGGCTGCGCCGTCTTCGAATCTCCAATTCTTTCTCCTTTTCTTCTGCTCTGTGTCTCAACCCAGTCTGAACCCCCACGTACAGATAAAAATGTCTTCCATTAAATTCGACAATACCGGAAATGACCAGTTGCAGGTCCCCGGCTTCCATGATATCCCAGTGGATTATGAATTACCCGTTGGTCAACGCTTTGCGCACGGAGCTCTGCCAGATTGGGCTGGAAGCCGAGGTCGAGCAATCCGGTTAACCCAACCTGAGGTTTTGATGCTACGTATCATGGAGATGCTGACAGAGCGGCAAAATTGAGAGGTTGACGTGTTTGATGAAGGTATTGTCCAGCAATGGTATAGGGAGATTCTCGTTCAGTTTCAAGCCCGATCGGGACCGGAGGAATGGGGAGATATGAGTATCGACTTGGACCTTATTACCTCAAAGACATGGGACTGGTGCATTGCGGAGCTACGTGATAAGGCTGTCAGCTTCCGTGAAAAGGATTATATCATTACATTGAATGCTGATTCGGGGGTGTGCAAGTCGGCCGTGCTTGTCAACGGGGACTTGCAAAAGGAATTACAAGCAGCATTCCAGCCACTCCTGCAGGGGAAACCTGGTTACCATGACCTGGTGGACCCCGAATTATACATGCTGGTCTATGGTCGCACTGCCGTTCTCAGTCAAGGAGGCCAAGTCACCATAACTGCTGCCGGTATATCGTATCCTACCACCAGCTCCGACGTCCACGTTGCGCCTTCGCTTCAGCACCCTATAGATACATGGACGACACAACATGGACGCCCGCCAAGAGATGACTCAATCGGGCCCCTTTATCGCTGGTCCCACCGTTTTCAGTGGCTACCATGTGAAGTGGAATTCGTTAGCCCGGAGGGGACTAACGTGCGAATCACTTCATACATCAACAATCTTCATCCACGTAACGGCAAAGCCTATGCGGCGATTGAGAAGCTGATTTCAGCCTGCATTAAGCCATGGAACGACATTTTGATCAGGGATCCTGTTAGTCGTTATCCCCCCCGCATCAGAACATATGGGTTTGCGAAGACGGGGCTCAATGAACCATACGATCAACTCAAATCGGAAGTTCTTGGGTGGCGTTAAACACTGGCTCGGGCTAACCTGGGCTATAGACTGTGAGAAGATCAAACAGTATCTTACAATTCCTGAGCCTGACCTAAAATTTCGAATCATTGACGACGATCCATCTGAACCGGTTTATCCTAAGGATTTGCTGGGCTTCATGACTCCAGAGATGTGGAAGTCTATCGAACAAGTACAGGAGGTTGTATCAGAGAAACAGTTTCGACTTCACAGTTTCCAGTATCCGGAACCTGGCGTCTCATACTCCTACGATGAGTGGAAACTAGGAAAAACCGCGCAGCCAATTGTTGGTAAAAGGAGAACCTCGGAAGATGTTTACAGGAAACGGCTCCCTCCTTCAGACCATGACCACCAGTATCAATCAGTCTATTTGCAGAACCAGTTTCGCAATCAGGGATTACAAGTGATCGTATGGGTCAGCAGCATTGAGCTCACCGCGGAACAAGCGATCTTCTCTGAAGACGATGACTATCATGTTGACGGGCTCCTGAATGAGCACGTGGTTGCCACCGCACGATACTACTACGACGTCGAAAACATCACCGAGGCGCGCATCTCCTTCCAACAAGAAGTCGACCTGGATGCGTTCGAGATCACACTAGAGCCCCACGCGATGCAGAAGATTTTTGGTTTGCCTCGGGCGGATGAAGATCCAGCGACTTTCGGCGATGCCCCTCCGAAACTACAGACTCTGGGATCAGTAACCGCCACCCATCAGGGATGCTTCTTAGCCTGGCCCAATACCCTCAGATACAGGACCCTGCCCTTCTCACTTCAAGATCCTCATCTCTCGGGTCATCAGCGCTTTGTCACTATCTGGCTGGTCGACCCGCACTACCGCATTTGCTCGTCCCGTAATGTGCCACCACAACAGCATGCCTGGTGGAGAGAGGATACAATACTCGATCAATTAAGATTCCAATTTGGATTGCCACAAGAGCTACAAGATCTCATCATGCGCGCGACAGGAGATTGGCCGATGGGATTGGATGAGGCGGTGGGGTTCAAGGAGCAGTCAGCCGTAGAGCGTGAACGTGCCATCTGTGCCCAATCCCAAGGGGTGGGTACTCATGATTTCTGGTTTCCTATTCGGCTCGGGGAGCAAGGATGATCTCGCGTTGCCACTTCTGGTTTCTCTTTGGATACTGAGTTGCACGGCAGTGGGACCCTGACTAGTCCCAGTGGAGTCAAGGCTTAGCTCAGGGGCATTGACGCTACTTCAACTTCCATTGGAAGCGTGCAGAGAAAACCTCTGCCATCGGAGGCTAGCTCAATATTGACCGCGTGGATGCGCCAGAATCTTATCAGATATCAACTTTCAAGCGAGGAAGGACTAGCTCATATTTTCACTAGTACGGATACACTATGCAAATGCACTATTGAGCCAACCCGCGATTACATACACTCAGAACACGAAGTCTTCAATTCCAACACGCTGTCTCCACAATTGTCGCCTTCTCTCCATAGAGCAGCGCCCATTCTCAATGTCTCCTGTAGCTGGGCCAGATTTTCTTGGACGGAGTCGTCTCGGTCCAAGCCATGAATTTCGCTAATTGGGCTGCGTCATCCCCTGCCATGCCTTCATAATTCAAATCCTCAAATTCGAATTCGATCGCGCGGGGCTCGCTGCCAGTTTGATCGGTCCCCACCGTTCGGGTGATGCTTTCCGGCTCGATGTTTTTGAAATTGTCTATGAAAGCCTTGGTGCGCTCGCCCGTCCAAGGTGTCTGCCGTCATGTCCCCGACCAGGTCCGTCAGGCGCGCAGCCTGCGCCCACCGCAGCGCCGTGGTGCATTTCTTGACCAGATCCGCCGATGGCACCACCGCACGCGCAGTTTGGACCTTGTCCACGATGGCCGTAATCATGGTCAACCAGGGTTTGTTGTTCTCAGTAATGATGTTCCCGCCAACCAGCTTCCAATAATCATAATTCCAGTTGTCCTGGATATTCTGCGCCAAGTCGTAGATATCCGGGGACGTGGTCTCCCCTAGCGCGGTGGGCATCAAAGCAGCGGCTGCCTGCGGGTCCAGGATTGATTGGACAAAGGCCGTTGAAGCTGCAGTCGGCCCCTATGCATTCTTGGCCGATGGTTTGCGTCCAGGGGACCCCGTCTGCTTCAGCCCGGGCAGCCGCCGCAGCGTCAATCTGGTAGGGATAATAGGAAAAGAGTGCCTCATATGCGGACGAAACCACCGCACAGTGAGTTGTTCGAACGAGCAAGCAAAGTGCGAGGATGGTACGTGTGACCCTCATTCTTGTAAAGTAGACAGAGAAAATGAAGGGGATCTGAACGATATCACGTTTGTTGTCCAACTGACAGTGGCGTTGGATACCTTCTCGTCACTGCCCCAGACAGCATTATATATGCCTCCCTATCAAGTGCCCTCCTAATCGGCAAACCCTTTGTCCAAGTGTCGTCTTCGACATATCCGACCGTTGGCCCCTGACGCCGCCGATTTATTGATTCAAAGCGTCTCGTAATTTTTAGCTTATAGCCCGTAAAGACCGGACTGTGGATTGTTTCGATAGTTACAGGGTCGGTTCACCTTTAGGGCCTCCACTATGTGGGGGAGGGGGAAGCGGTTAAGCCTCGTGGAGCCCTGGCGCATCACCCGAACCCTACCGCTAGACCTTCTGCAATCTCCGAGTCATAAGCCCCGATGGCCGATGTCTCACTTCACTCCACCATATTGATAGCGGTATTTGTTGGTCCTGAAACCGCTCCATGACGAACAGAAACACCTCAGGACGGAAGAAGCCATGTTCGTGTTTTACATGCTTTTTGTGACGTGCACGCCTGCATAGCGACTCTCTCATTTGAACCCCTGTCCCTCGTGAATTAAAGACCCATGAACGATATTAAGCATCGCAAACCATAGAGCCCCTAAGAAAAACTATTCACCATATCTGAGGACTTGATAATCAGACAGCGACGCCTCCAACCCAACCAAGACCAACACAATGCACCTCCCAAGTCTCGCCCTACTGACATACTTTCTCACCGCAACAACACTAGCTACAACCCTCGATACCTCGTCCCCCGGCTCCCCAAACACGATCGCCTTCTTCAGCAGCGCCGCACTGACCTTCGGGTACGGATTCGCGGATGCCTGCGCCTGCGCGGCCAAATGTGGGAGCGTGAGTCGCTGCGAAGCCTGGCTGTTTAGCAGTGGCGGCGACGGCCGCTGTGAGCTGTATAATCGGGGTCCGGTGGCCACTGCGCCGAGTCCTGGGTTTGTGTATGGCACTGTGGGCACTGTGAGGGGCCGGACGAGTTCACTCTCGTCTTCTTCGGTGGTGGTGGCGATTGCTGGTACATTTTCGCGGGTTGCGGTGGTTTCTTCACCGTCCTCCTCCTCCT